TGAAGAGAAAATACAGGATCTAATTCTGCATCATTGAATACTGTGTATTTAAATGTAGACCATTATATAATTGGCAATTGTTTAAAAGGTGGGAAACTAACAAAGAAACACTAGAGGGAGCTGCTGTTCTATATAAGGAACTTCTTGGCTTTGCAGTTTTCAGCATAAATTTTTATGCATTGAAGTGTGACAAGTATGAGCACACAGCTCAGCTGTCTAATACTGAAATAATGGAACAATACTCAAAAACAATATCAGGGAGCAAGAACAAAAATCAAGAATTCTGCACTAGGAGTAAATAATACATTTTACAACTACGCACTGTTTAATAAACCCATTAAAAACTCAAAGGGGAAAGCAGAATATTATCTGGGGGATATAAGATGACAGAAATCTTATTTTATAACTCATTAACAAAAATTCTAATCGACTTCCATGAGGGCAAGATTTACCTCAGAGAATACATGAAGCAAAACTAAAAGTCACTGGAAAGGGATGAACAAAAAATGTCTCTTTATTGAACACTCCAGCTAACAACTGTAATCACTTGCCTTTCTGGTGGATGACAGTTCTTAATCAAGACTGTAAAGTAGGTTATAAAGGAATATAAACTCACTACAAATATAGAGTTTACAAAAATAATACAGAATTTAGGCACTGAACAAATTAGTGAGCCACAGATGAGAAAGTCAGGAGTCACCAGGCTAGATTCACAAAGGGATGTAAAGAGAATATGAACTAGCTTAATTTGCAGCTTCTGGCTCCACAAATAACAGTCATTTAGATTGTCTAACACTCACATGACTTACCAGTGTACAACTTAATAGTCAATACACATCACTTGCATTTGGTCCCACTAGCCTGTTACTCTGCCTTATTTTAGGGCATCTTTTATACCAACTTCCCTAAAGATTTTATCTTGTCTTCAGCATTGCTGTCATGGAGTGCTCCTTATTGAAGTTTCTGCCCTTTTCACATTTTAATACTTGAAAACATTTTCTTACTATCAAATTTAAACACTACTGAATTAATTTCATAGACCCAATCTCTGTGTTATCCACCTTAAATAATTACTCACTTTTATCTTATTCTTTCTGAGGTACTTATGAGTGGTGATCTCATATCTCCCTTTTCATTCTTTCAGGAGAGTCCAGGCTTTACATGCTGAGCTCCCTTAAGCTCTTCATAAACCACAGCTGCTAATCTTGTGATAGCAAACCTATGGGCAGGAGTGCTAACTGTGCTGTGCCCTAGACTGTGGAGATGCAAGGTCAAAAGTAGGAGCAGCCAATGTGCCCACATGAATGAAGCAGCTCTCTCCATTTAATGTCCAGCAGAGGAAGGGCCTACGGAAGAGCAAGATATTGGATTGATGTAGATTGAATGGGACGTGAAATGACAAGCAAAAATGAGGAGTGACACACTTGAAAAAGAAAGAAGAAATTTAAAAAGCCTTCTATGGCCTTGTCTACTCACAAAAACAGTGCCTCTTTAGAAATTCTAGAACAACTTCTAATTTTGGTTTAGTTGTACCAGTATAATTGAAGTACTACCGTGACCTTACTGTGGATGTAGTTATACTGGTGTATGTGTGCGTATATTGGCACCTTTATTCCCATGTGAGAAGGGGAATAAATTATGCCAGCAATGAATTCCTTCTCTTGGGTAAATGTGCAGAACAGAGTCTGCTAATCTTTAGGGAAAAAAATACATCTAAAACATATGAGGGCACCTATGATCCAAAAATGGCATATGATTGACTGTGTTATCGACCACCAATGAGACATTACCAGAGCCATGTGTGAAGCAGAATGCTGAACAGGCCACAGACTGATAAGAATTGTGCTGAACTTGCATACAGTCCCTTCAGAGCACAAGTGTCGCATACTTAATAGAACAGCCTTCCACACAGCAAAACTCAACCATTCCAGCCATCAGGTGCAGTTTCAGCAGATACTTGATGGTAAACTTTATCATGCCTGCCAATCACTGACAACCAATCAGAAAAAAATGGAACCAGTTTAAACATATAGTTATTGACACAGAGAAATAAGTGCTGCCATCAAAAAAAATATTACACCAGGGCTGGTGTGATGAGAACAATGAGGACATCTCCAAACTGAAAAACAGAAAACATTGTGAAATGGCAGAATGAACTGACTTTCATTTCAAAGAAAGATAGTTTTAAATACCTACAAAGCAAGGCCCAGTCTGAACTAAGGAGATTGCAAGAGGAGTGGTGGGAGAGGAAAGTTGCAGACATCCAGCATTATGTGGATACAAACAATGAAAAAATGTTCTTTGACTCTATCAAAACAGTCTACGGGCCATCTAAGTCTGGCACTGCCCTCTTGAAGTCAGCAGATAGTAAAATCTTCATTAAAGACAAGGAGGGAATCATACAGAGATGGGCTGAACACTTCAGTAGTGAAACCCACTGATGAAGATCACAATCTCCCTCCATCAGTTGAAGAAGTTTTAAGAGCCATCAAAAACTGAACTCTGGTAAAGCATCTGGAAAGGATGGTATCCCATCACAACTGTATAAAGAAGCAGGTCCAAAGGCTATTAAGGGGTTTCACAACATGCCGAGTAGCATTTGAGAGGAAGAATAAATGCCATGAGGCTTCAAAGATGCTACTATTGTATCACTGTTCAAAAACAAAGGCAGGTCGGAGTAAGCTGTATTAAGGTCCTTGAGAGAGCAAACACAACCACTATTGAGGAAATGTTACTGAGAGAGCAACTTAGGTGGACAAGGCATGTAATCAAAATGGAAGACTGCTGTCTTCCAAAACAGATCTTTTATGGAGAGCTTAGTCAGGTGGGCAAGAGAGAGATGCTCATCCATATAAATGCTTCAAAGATAATCTGAAGAGCAGTCTCCAGTAGGCTGGCTTCAATCCCAAATAATTTGAGCAAATGGCTCAGAACAGGACAGGTGGTCTCGGACTGGGGCAAATGGTACCTGTGCTTCAGGTGGAGGGGGTGCAGGGAAGGCCACTCAGAGGGGCATGTGGGGGCACCCCATTTAATTATAATTTTGGCTGGGGCACAATGCTGCTGTGAGTCATCTATGATCTCTGATAAGATCAGCATGTGACAAAATCATCTCCAGGCTACAGTGAAAGATGCCATAGAACTGAATCATGAGACATAATAGATATAGACTTCCCATGCCCTCAGAGCAGTTGACTCTGGACATGAGGATTTGAACTGTGGAGTGATATGCATAGCCATATATGAGAACTGAAACAATATCATCATCATCACCAGTGATGTACTACCAAATACAAATATAATAACCCCTCCCCCCCCGCCAGTTATACAGATACAAAAAATGTGGATAGATCAGGCCTAAAACTGATACCCATTACCTTGATTTCTAAACAGATTGGCTGTGTCTACACTGGGCCACTTATTCCGGAAAAGCAACCGCTTTTCCGGAATAAGCTGCGAGCTGTCTACACTGGCCCCTTGAATTTCCGGAAAAGCAGTGATGATTTACTGTAAGAAATCAGCTGCTTTTCCGGAAAAACTATGCTGCTCCCACTCAGGCAAAAGTCCTTTTTCCGGAAAACTGTTCCAGAAAAGGGCCAGTGTAGACAGCACAGTAGTCTTTTCCGCAAAAAAGCCCCGATCGCGAAAATGACGATCGGGGCTTTTTTCCGGAAAAGCGCGTCTACATTGGCCATGGATGCTTTTCCGGAAAAGCATCCTGCCAATGTTGACGCTCTTTTTCCGGAAATACTTATAATGGAAAACTGTTCTGTTTTAAGCATTTCTGGAAAAAGGTGCCAGTGTAGACACAGCCATTATGTTTAGCAGCTATAATCAATAAGGTTCTACATTTTTGCTTTTATTGTTCCATTATTCTTGGAAAGATTCTCTCTGGTGTATGATGTCTCTATCACAAGGAACCACAATCTGTACAAGTACATAGGAATCCAAGTGTACTATGGCTATATGAAGATTAATTAATATTTACTTATTTTTATACACAATGAATGATCCCTGCCATCTATTTTTCTTTCTGAAAATACGTTAGAAAAAATTAAAGAAATTGGCAGTGATAGAATGTGCAAACTTTTGTATCTTCTTAGATAAGTACAGGGCCATCTATTCTAGTTTACCTATCCTTCACAGCTGCTCTTCACTGTATCCAGCAACATCATGTGTAGAAAGAGCGTTTCTGAAAGAGGGAGTGCTGGATATCACCTATTCCAGGGAAAGCTGAAAACTGTTAAAAATATGGTTTGAAATAGGGAATATTACTAATGATCAACCAGCATTTTTACAATATGGCAAATGGGATATAATGTCACAATTCTCATCAAGTCTTTTTCTCTCAAAGATCACATTTGTTACTGCTCAGAGAAGACCTGAAGCAAGCCAAACTCATACATGAGCTCAAACTCTAAATCATGTACCTCTAATAAAACCAAAACTCTTAGATCTCAGCTAAAACACTTAGTGCTACATGTTATTAATCCTTTCATATAGTTTTGCATTTCTTAATCTTTTTAATTCTTCAGTAAACTCATTTGATCTACAGTTGAGTGCTCATTTCACTATTGGGTATAATCCTCTACACCATTCAGTTGGCAAGCTCATCACACAGTCCTTCGTCTTTCAAATTACCCCCCTGAGACAGAAATTATCTGATCTTAAATACAGCATCACACATTTGGTAAACTGAATGAATGCACAATATCCACAATTAGCATATATAGTCTGCCCCTTGCTGAATTGTTATACAGCACTGTGGGAGCTTGCATTTTCCCTATTATACTGAGCTTTGTAGCCTCTCTTATTTGGGATCCAATTCTTTATCCTTGTTCTATCAAAAGGTTGGGAATTGTAACTGTCTCCTATTGCAGAGAGAACAAAGATACATTGTGTTCATTTAAAGTTATCCTCAGGTAAGCTGCTACAAAAAAGTGTACAGCAATTCTTGAAAGTGGGAAATCCTCATTTCAGTAACCATGCTGGTTACTCACCGGAGGTCCTGGTGATCCTGGTTTACCGGGGAGTCCTGGTTTACCTCGCCTTCCCTGGAAACAAAAACAAAAACAAAAACCAGACATTCATGAATATTACATCTGAGGATTGATTTGGAATAAAACAATCTGTGTAAAATCAAGATTGTTTGTATTATTTATTAAGAAAAAAACAAAAGCTATCCAAAGCAGAAACACTTTGCATCACTTACTGCAGCATTGATAAGAACTTATTACCTTAGAAAAGTTCTTAACAACTCTGGCAAACATTGTAATTTTTACAGTCACATTTTCCCCAGTAGGTTTCAAGAGTGAAAGCATACTGATAGGGCAGTAACATATAAAAAACCGAGCATGCTGACAATGTCCAAATAAATTACATTGTATTTGATCATTCGATGGTCTGTGATGTAAAACTATAACACAGCTGTCACTATAAACCATATAATAATTGTACAGGTTGAATGTAAACCATTTAACATATGCCCAGCACCCTATTTCTCAAACCTGGTTTTCAACTGTGTCACTACTGAACTGAAATATGTGTGTCTTATTGATCTCCAATACTTAAGTCATTTGTCACCTACTCAGATTTACAAACAGCAAAACCTCGATTTCAAGAGGTTACAAGCTAAGCAGTTATACAGGAATCCAAGACTGGAAGAGAATAGATTAAAATCCTTCAGCAGTTATACATTTCCTGGTACCATTTCATAATTTATAGTCTTCAATTATCAGGCTAACACCCAATTACACAGCTTATAATCAAAGGTTTCTTTATCGCTGATTGAGAGGAAAACCTTTGTTGATTTAAGTCAGACTGGAAAAAATTAATTAGCAATATTTTGAGGTTTCATTCCTTGTTTTTCCCCTCATAGTCCTATGTTACTAACAAGCTAAGAATGTTGTCATTGAATTTCAATAACATTTATCCATAATACTGAAACTTAACCATGATTTCTTTCTTTTTGATATAGATACTAGCTAAGCTCAATATTATTCCTATTATTTCATATAAAACTCAATTCGTCTATGATATGTTCTAATTATTGCTTACTTGTTAATCAAAACACAAAGACCCATCTGCTGTTTTCTGATATACATTCACCCTTTAGTGACTTCAGCAAGGTTACAAAGGCATATAAAGACTTAAGATTATTTAATTCACAGGAGTTCAAAAACTGAGGGCACCATTGTCTTTTCTTACATTCTGTAAATACACCTGCAATAATTTAGCCAAACGATGACTCAACATCAATAGCTACACATAGGAGATATTGAGGAAGAACTTGACCAGCCAGTTAGACTTTTTTTTAAAGGAAGTGTGTCCCTATGTCTTATAACGGCTATGTTGATTTCTGGAGGGCAAGGAGTGAGAGCATTTGATTTTCAAAAATATTTCCTATTTATGCAGTTACTACCTCTGTATAAAATATGCATTTGTATTTGTAAATGCCAATCATGCAAATACCTACTTAAAGCCTGATCCAAGTGAACAGGCATATTTCCTCTGATTTGAATAGACATAGGGCAAGCCCTGAGTAAACAAATGCAGTAATTCTGTTTTTGACCAACAGGCCAAAAAATGAAAATTTACAAGCTTGAATCTTGATTGTAAAATTTAATGTATAGCATTTTTAGGCACAAAAACTACTGACAACTACTGTCAAGTCACTATGGCAAAATAAATACATATTTGTGGCCAAAAGCCCACTTCTACTGCTGGATAGCGGGTAACCATACACTCAGAAAGGTACAAGTTGACAATTTACAAATACATCTGATTTATTTGCAAGAACCTGATTTAGCCAGAAAATATTTTATTTGTGCATTCCATTGTTTGTGTGTAAATATAAATGTGTTTTTTACAGGAACAACATAGAAACGATGTTCCAAAAACTATGTCCAAAAATTTTCAAAATGAAAATTCTTATAGATACCAAATGATTGTCACAAATTGCCATTGCTAGATTATCACAGAATTGAATCGATTATTTAAATTCATGACAGCATCATTTGGATTTGTTTTCAGACCTTCAACTTTTTTAAAATTTCAAAAGTGTTTAGACCTAGAAGCTTTCTTTGAACCCTTTACAGATTGATGTTAGGGACTAGGTTCAAACCTGGTTCCATACTTTCTGACGGTTTAGCGTTGTAGAGAGCCATGGTTTTGTTTGGGATTATATCCTTTACAACTATAAATATAGTCTAATGTGAGATAGGGTATGTCTACACTACAGAGTTATTTCAAAATATCTTATTTCAAAATAGTTAATTCGAAATAGCTTATTTTGAAATAACACAAAGTGCATTTCGAAATAGTGTTTTGCTATTTCGAAATAGCGCATCCACACCGAGTAGACACTGAATTGCATTGAAGGCTGGCAGGAACCAGGTCCAGCAGGACATCAGGTCAGGAGTTTATTTGTGTGGCTGCTGCCTGAGGCTATCTGAGGCTTGCGCTTAAAGGGATCCCCACCCCGGGCTGTTATTTCGAATTAACTTTGATGTGTAGACATACCCAAAGTAAGTAGTCAGATGTGTCGCCAAAGAATTTAGACAGAAATATGATGGCTTAAATATAAAATAGCCCTGTTTTGTAGTATTTTTAGGGTGCATTGAGTATCAAGGAAGTGTTAAAGGAATGAAGACAGGATTTTGACTGGCATACACAACCATGAATGGAGTGTTAATTACATAGCAAAAACAGAATATTCTGGGAGCTAAATTTGTCTTTTTTTAAACATGACACGAAATATAATTCATGATGGATATTGCAAAATTAAAATGAGACAGGGTGATAAGCCTTTTAAAATCAATTACATGAAAAAAAAATCAGGAAGACAAATAGCTTTTTTGGTTCTGTTTTTGCTTTGCCATTCATTATTTACTGAAATACACAGTATACTTTCTCCTACTCTATATTCTACAATTAATGTAGCAGACAATGGTTTATGTCATGTGTATACGATCCATATGGCTACAAGAAAAACTGTGTTACACTCAAGGTTATAGGGCCAAAAGGAGGTTAAAATAATATGAGGTGAAATATTCCAGGAATGCAAGGTTTATGTGTGTTAAGTGGTTGTTTCCAGGTATTCTTCTATTTCCTTTTATAACCGATTTTAAAAAATGAGTTTTCTTTACAAAATTAATAAAAGTGAACATATACCTTAAAAAATGGGACAATTTTAAATCAAACTGGAGGCTCATAATAAAAAGTTTAGGTCTTAGACATTTACTTAGCACAGCACTCCATATACCCATCATTATCTAGGAAATGTTACATTTAGAGTGAAATTCACATTTTCACCAAGTTGTTGGGCTCATGAGCGTGTAAATATCTGGATTATGGAACTGCTCAAATGATAAATTAAAAAAATACTTTATTCTTCTGCTGCTGCTTTGCCCTTAGCTCCTATGGGAGCACAGGCCATCAACAATTTCTTTCCAAACCTCTCTGTCTTGTGCCACCTTTTCTAATTCTCTCCAGCTTTTGCCCGTTTTCCTCACATTCACATCCAGGTCTCTTCTCAAACTATTCTTTGGCTTTCCTCTTCCCCTTTTTTTCTGTGGGTTCCAGGATGGGGATTGTCTGGTAATGCTAGTCGGTGACTTCATCAGCGTATGGCCAATCCATCGCCATCTTCTCAACATCTCTTGCTCTACTGGGCATTGCCCTGCTCTTTCCCATAAACTAATGTTCGTAACCTTGTCAGACCACTTCAGACCAATGATCTTACGCAAACATTTATTAATAAAAGTTTGCAACCTTTTGATGTTTGTCCTTGTTGTTTGCAATGATTCTGAGCCATATAGAAGTACTGATTTTACATTTGAGCTGAAGATCCTTATTTTGGTCTGTAGCTTGATCTCTCTTGAATTCCATATGTTCTTCAAAATAATAAAAGAACCTCTTGCCTTCTGTATTCTGGTCTTAATAACTTCGTCAGTATTTCCCAATTTATTTACAATACTACCTAAATAGGTGAAGGTATCAACTTTCTCCAGTGTCATTCCTCTCAAGACAATTGGGCTACTGTTATTTGCTGCATTCACTTTCATGATCTTGGTCTTCTCCTTGTGGATCTTCAGTCCCATCTGCTGTGAAATCTTCTCCAGCTTTACTGTTTCATTTTGCATTTGAAGTTGATGATGTGACAGAAGAGCTAGGTCATCTGCAAAATCAAGGTCTAACTGTTTAAACAGGGTCCACTGAATTCCATTCCTCTCATTAGCTGTTGTTTCTCTCATGATCCAATCAACAGCCAAAAGAAAGAGGAAGGGAGACAGCAGACAACCTTTCAGAACATCAGACTTTATTCTGAAGGTTTCTGTAAGTTGACCCTCATGCAAGACCCATATCTTCATAGGTCTTTTTTATGAGATTTATGAGCTTCTGAGGGATCCCATACTGCTGTAATAATTTCCAAAACATTTCCCTATCCAAGCTGTCAAACCCTTTTTCATAGTCCACAAAGTTGATATACAAAGAAACATTTAATTGTAAACATTGTTCAATAATTATGCACAATGTGGCTATCTGATCTATACAAGATCTATTTTGACAAAAGCCTGTTTATTCATCTCTTAGCTTGGAATCTATAGTTTTCTTGAGTCCTTCTAGAATTACCTTGTTTAATACTTTGCCTGGCACTGACAAAAGCATGTTTCCTCTATAATTCATACATTCTTGTAAGTCACCTTTCTTTGGCAATTTTACTAAATATCCTTCTCTCCAGTCTCTCGGTAATTCTTCCTTTTCCCAAATGTTACCAATAAAGCTATGGAATATTTCTGTTGATTTATCTATGTCCACCTTTATAGCTTCTGCTGGTATTCCATCAGGACCCGTAGCTTCCCCAGTTCTTAGAAATTGAATTGCTTCCTTTATCTCTTCTTTACTTGGCTTGCTACAATTGACCAAGAGTTCTTCTTCAACTGGCTGGATTTCTGGGGGATCTTCTGGAACTGGTCTGTTTATAAGTTCACTAATATGTTCTACCCATCTTTCCATCTGGTTTTCTATGTTTGTAATCTTTCTCCCCATTTTA